GCAGTGAGGGATGTCCTTCCCCCGACTAAGCTTGACTGTCCTGGGCCCAGCTGCACTTGGTGTGACACTCTCAATCCAGAGCATTTCAGATTGCTTGTTTTGTGGGGCTGGTACCAGCTGAGCTAGATCACTTGGCTCCCTGTCTCAGTCCCCTCCCTTTCACTTGGATGGGCGGCTCTGTCTCCCAGGCATTCCTGGTACCAGTCGAAACAGCCGTCCAGACTTGTGTGAGTTTCTTTCCACCCAGTCAGCACCAGCAGTATCCACTGCGCCGAAAACTTGTGGCACTTTTTGGCCCAGGAATCTCCTGGTTTGTGGGCAGTGAAAACTTGTTTGGAAATGCAGTGAGCACTCACCCTCTGCGCTGTTCTTGCTGGGAATTGCACTCTGGAGTTGTTCCTATTCAGTCATCTTGCATCCTCAAGCAGGCGAGGTATGTTTCTTGCAGGCAATATATATATTGGGTCTTTTATTTTTTTAAATCTATTTAGCCAGTCTAAATATTTTCAATGGGGTATTTAATCCATTTACATTCAAGGTTACTATTAATAGCGACTTATTCCTGTCATTTTCTTGATCATTTTCCAGTTATTTTGTTTATCATTTGCTCCTTCCATCTTCTCTTATTGTTGACTTTTGCCATTGGGTGGTTTTCTGTAGTGCTGAGGTTTGATTCCTTTCTCTTTATTCTTTGTATATTTGCTTGACCAGTGAGTTTTATAACCCCACATGTTTTCATAATGGTGGTTATTATTTTTTGATTTCCAGATGTGAGACTTCTCTGAGCATGTTTTGTAAGGCAGCCTAATGGTAATAAAGTTCCTCAGTTTTTGCTTGTCTGTGAAAGATTTTTTTTCTTTTTTTTTTTTAATTTCTGAAGGATAGCTTTGCTGGGCATAATATTCTTTGGTGGCTTTTTTTTTCAGTGCTTTAAACATACCATCTCATTCTCTTCTGGACTGTAAGGTTTCTGCTGAGAAATTAGCTGTTAGTCTAATGGTGATTTGTGTATATAAGACTCGACACTATTCTCTTGTTGCTTTTAAAATTCTTTGCTTTGACTTTTGACAATTTGACTATATGTGCCTTGGAGAAGACTGTTTGGAGTAAATCCATTTAGAGTTATTTGAGCTTTCTGGATTGTCTCCCAAGACTTTGGAAGCCCATCTCTCTCCCAAATCTTTGGACGTTTTCTGTTATTATTTAATAAAATATGATTTCCTCACTTTTTTCCTTTTTTTCCCCTTCTGGAAGCTCATAATACAAACTTTTTGTTAACTTACTGGTGTACCATAAATGCTGTAGGCTTTTTTCATTCTTTTTTCTCTCTTTTCTTTGTCTTCCTGTGTTATTTCAAAAGACCTGTCTTTCTGTTTGGAAGCTCTTTCTTCTGCCTGGTCTAGTCTGTTGTTGAAAGTCTTGATTATAGTTATTTCCTTCGTTTAATTCTTCTATTCTAGTATTTATCTTTTCTTCTCTGTTTATTTGATATTTATCTCTATTGACTTTATCAATTAAAACATTAATTGTTCTGGTTTCATAGAATTGTCTATATTATATCTCACTTTCCTTAAGATTATGTTTTTACATTCTTTTTTTTTTTTGCATTTCATATATTTCCTTATAATTTGGTTTCTGTTGCTGAAGAATTATTGCTTTTCTTTGGAGGTTACATTTTTTTTTCCTTTTTTTTAAATGATTGATGTGTTCCCATATTTATTTCTACACAGGTGGTAGAAAAGCTACCTCTTCTAATTTTATGGTGTAGGTTTCATAGGGAAAGATTAATCCATATAAGTGGGTCATGGGGTGTCAGTTTGGTGGGGTCTGTTGGCCTTGGTTCTAGGTAGACATAGTAGGATTGTCTGTGTGTAGTTCCTTCATCTGTAATTCACACTAGAGGTATTTGTGAATTTCTCAGTGACCTAGGCTGATAGAGTTTGTTTTGATGGTGGCGTAGCTTTGCCAGGGGTGGGCTTGCTGGGCTATTTCTCATGTCAGAAATGTGTGCACATGGTAGATTGGCTAGCTTGTGGTCTAACTTACTAGGGTTAGGGCCATTGTGCTATTACTCTGATTGGAAACACAGACATGCAGTTACTTAGACAGCCTTGGGGTGTGCCTGCCAAGAGTGACTTGGAGGGCTATTTCTCAAGTCCAGGACATGAGTGCACAGCTGCTTGGCTGGCATGGGGACGTGTCTGCCAGGGTTGGCCCACAGGGCTATTTCTCAGGCCTGTGACACAGGCATAAGGATGCTCACTGGCCTAGTGGCATGTCTGCTAGGCAGACTACAGGCTGTTTCTCTTGTCTCGGACACAGCTGCATAGCTCCTTGGTTAGCCTAGGGGCAGGTTTGCCAGGGATGTCCCACACGGCTGTTTCTTAGGCCTGGGATGTGGTCACATGACTTCTTGGCTGGCCTGGGTGTATGTCTGCTGCAGGTAGTCCAGGGGGTTTATGTCTTGCTCTGGGCTCAAGCGCACAGCTGCTTGGCCAGCTGGGAGGGTGTGTCTTTCAGAGGCAGCCCATGGGCTGCTTTTCAGGCTTGGGATTCAGGCACAGGGCTGCTTGGCTGGCCTGGGGTCATGTCTGCTGGTGGTGGAAGATAATGCTATATTTTGGAGATCTTAAAATGCAACTTAATCGTGTGTTTTGGTCAGTTTCTTCTGATAGCCATGCCTAGGCAAAAGTGACTAGGAGATTAAAGAGTTGAAAGTATTCATAACAGAAAAATATACCAATGTTACAGTCTCAACCAAATTCTCTATTTTTGATCTTGCTCAATTGTCCAACTTTATGAATTTAGGGTAAAAGGCTGGCAACATATGCATTCTTCTACTCACCCAAAAGTGGAACCCTGATTTCCCTAAAGTACTGGGCTTTATGTAGATTCCCTATGACTATCTTTCTTAATTCTTTTTCATCTGACCTAAAGCCTTTATTATAATTTCACGAAAAAAAAAAAATTACCATAGTGATAAGGTACTATTTTTCTATCCAATTTCAGAATAAAGAACATTTTCCAGTTTTATTTCGTCTTTTATTTTAATTCTTAGCATTCCAGTGTACTTCTTAGCCTAGTTTGAAGTTAGGATCACAGGCCTAAGTTTGGGGGCTCCTACCACCTGTGGGTTGGTAAGGATTTAGTAGTGACAAAGTTTTGTAAAGGATGTTGAGAGTAAGCAGTGGGAATTCCTTTTCCTCAATCTCTTCTTTCTTCAATTTGTATTGCTACAAGAAAAGTCCTAAAAGTATACCAATTGTATCTTTGGGATAAAGCAAGGCTTCTTGTATTATTTTTCTTTGTAATTTTTCCTGAAGTGACTAGGATCTGGAGGAAAATAAGGCGAACCCACAGTATGGCAGAGAAGAGTTGATGGGATATAGAGTGAATGTGATGCAAAATAAAAATGAGAAAGTTAGGTAAAAGAAAGAAAGGGGTGTGAAGTTAGTGAAGATTATGATCACAGCATACAATTAAAAATTATATTTAAAGATAAGATGGGAGAATACTGAGAGTTATATCAAGGAATTGAAATAAACTGGTTCATATTTGGCCTACTTTGAGAGACAATGGCTTAAGCATAGTAAAGCTTGAATTACATGCTTTCTCAAGATTCTTTATATTTGTAAGAAATATGGGACTGACAGCACAGAGAATAGTTTGTGTTTATCATCAGAGACAGGCATAGCTGAAATACTTTCTGATTAAATGTTCGTTGTATAGAAATGTATATATGTGTGCATATTCTCCCTACTCTTCCACCTCTCCCTTGGATACGCAGTGTAATCCTTCCAGATTTATTTCTAAGTATAAACTCAATCTGTGTATATACTCATGTTTTGAAAAAATCCTTTCCTACTATGCAAACTGTTTTCTAAGTTGCTTTTGTCTATAAGAAGAACAAATCTGGTTTAGCATTCATTGTTTCAGCGTCTCTGAAATTCTCACAGTTCTTTAGATATGCCATACACTTTCTAGACTTTGTTCCTTTGACTATTCTGTTCTCTGCTGGGAATGCTTTTACTTTTTTTTTTTTTTTTGAGACAGGGTCTCTCTTTTTCTTCCTGTCTTTTGTTCAGTGGCACGATGTCGGCTCACTGCAGCCTCTGCCTCATGGATTCAAGTGATTCTCCTGACTCAGCCTCTTGAGTAGCTTGGATTACAGGCAAACACCACCATGCCCAGCTAATTTTTTGTATTTTTAGTAGAGACAGAGTTTCACCATGCTGGCCAGGCTGGTCTCAAACTCCTGACCTTGTCATCCACCCACCTCAGCCTCCCAAAGTGCTAGGATTACAGGCATGAGCCACCATGCCTGACCTACTTTTCTTTTTTTATCTGCCATAATCTTTAAGAGCTGTTTTAGGTGTATATCCTATATGAATCTTTTTCCTAGTTTTCAATGTATATTCACTCTTTTGTCTCTATATTTTGTATGTAAGCGGGTTATGGCACAAGTGATAATCCCAAAGTGCTGGGATTACAGACATGAGCCACCGCTCCTGGCCTCTTTTGTTCTTTAGCAAGAACCTGTGCTAGAGTTAAAGCAATTCCAAATAGTGCCTGTAGCTCAGAAGTATAAACTACAGTCTGTGGCTATAACAAAACCATATTCCTGCAAGTTCAAAGGAGACTGAAAATAAGAAGCCACCTATTTGCTTTTTGCAGAAGTAGTAGCAATCTGCAGATAAGCTACTCCAGCTTCAAAACAGCATGGTAGATGGTTTTATGGAACTTGGGATTACAAAAATCCACTTTAACCTTTCTAACTGGCAGGTGTTCTACTAGCTTGCAGCCAGAGGCTGTGATAGTGCTGCCTGTTGTGTCCCTCAGCACTGTAGTGTGCCGAAAATGCCGACACTCCAGCTAACTGCTCGTAATTGCATTGATTGTGGTCTGATATCGGAGCTCCAGGAGAGAGATGTGATGAATATATAAAAATATTTTACAAATTTGATCAGATTACAAATTGTATCTCTTTTTTTCCTCCATAGATACGATATCTGCACTTATAAAAATAAGCCCTGCGGAACACTGGGTAAGTTGTTTTGTTTTGTTTTTTAAATAAAGGTTGAATGGTTCAGATTGTCTTTTTGAACCAGTGACTTTAATCTTTAGTATTAATTTGGCCATTTTTCATTCTGTGCATCTGAAATCCCTATAACCTGTTATAGCCAGCCTTTGTGGACATGTCATTTACTAGGAAACGAGTATTTATTGCTATCATAAATACTATATAAATGTCACTGGCTTTTTTGACAACTGGAATGATTATTAAAATTAACAGAATATGATTAAAAATCATTAAGGAATTATAAATTGAAGGTATCACTCATTTTCATATAATCTATCTCTGTAATATATTTTCTAAAAATACCAAGACTGTGAGAGCAAATGAAAGCAGTCAACATTTTGAAATTTTAGGCTAGGAAAGGAAAGGCAAAAAAAAAACAACAGCTAGGGATGTGTAATGAGGAGGCATCAAGAACAATACTTCTTTTGGTACGGTTTTGTGGAAAGAGTATAGCCCCCATAAATTAAGATATTATTGGAAATTTCTACTACCCAAACAACAACAAAAAGTAATCTTATAAAATATTATAGCAACAGGTGAAGAGAGAGGACAGGATTATCTTTCTTGTGCTCCCTAAGGATCATTTGTCTTTTTAAAAGCATTTCTGTAATATTCTGGAATTTAAAAAAATTACACCCTGTTATAGAGCATAATTTCATAGTTAACTGCAAATACAAATGGGCAAAAAGGGTAGCTCTCCAGTAGTCTAAATTTTTAAGCAACTAGAGTTATTTTAAAGGACAGAAGCTTTTTTTCTACTATAAATTTTTTAATGTCATAGAGACTTTTTACAGACTCAGAAGTTAAATGACTGAAGGTGAATTCTCTAGTTTCTCTATGACAAGTCTCAATTTTCTTATCTGTAAAAGAATACTTATGAAATTGATTCCTATGTACCTCATAATCATTTTGGAAAGATCAAAATAAAGTAGATGTAGGAGGAAAAGTGTTTTCTAACTTCCTGGAAGTTCAGTGAAACATCTCTTCAGAAACTAAAACTTCTCTTGATAATTTTACCTGACTTCCCAGGCTTCTCCTACCCATTTCCCTTAGGATTTATGGCTGAAGAAGAAATCCCAATTAGCCAATGCTGAGTATTAATTATGGAGAAGCTTGCTAGTTAAAAAGCATAATGCAGACAGAGCTGTCTTTGCTGAGCAAGTTCACATCAAAATGATTTACTTTGCAGCGTTTAAAGCTAACGAGAGCATCATAATCCAACAGAGGGAACTCTGAACTGGGAACTAACAACTGGCTTTGACAGTTTCAGTGCATTAGCTTTTACAGTGTATTTAACCTCTTTGTTCCTCAACTTTCTTACCTATAATGTAGGAGTAATATTTGCCCTTAGGCTACATGGACATTGTTAAAATCATTTAAGGAAAAAATTGTAGATGAATTTAGGAAAGAAGTAGTATAAAAATGAACTGGTATTATTTAATGTGGAAATTGCCTATACTTTTGAACTTACCCCCCATATTTACTGTACACAGATTCTCTAAGTGTTTATTAAGTGTTCAATCAATTTTAGTTATAATAGATACCAGACCTCAAATCAGGTGCACATATTAGTTACAGCTAGCATTTTTCTAGTATATCTATATTTGAAGAAATGGTGGTATATTTGTGTGTATTTCTCTCTCTCTAAATACATATATATCCTCTCTCTATATATATACATATGTATAAATTTATATATTTATATATATTTTCTGAGAGAGAGAAATACACACATATATTGTATCACTAGTGATATAAGTTATCACTAGCATTTATAACTCTGTGAGGCAGAAATCAACTCCATCCCCAACTCCTGCCCCTCTTGCATAAAACAATAGGTAAAGCAAACAATCTACTGTATATATGTGTGTATTTCTCTCTCTCTCTTTCTATATATATATACATCCTCTCCCTACATATACATATGTATAAATTTATATAATTATGTATATATTCTGCTTTTTGAAGGTAGATTATTTACATCTAGATATGCTCTTCGTTGTATTAGGCTGGTTAAAAGTAATTTGCGGTTTTCACCGTTACTTTTAAAATTACTTTTGCACCAATCTAATAACATAAGTAAGACCACTGCCTAGTACTTTTGTTGTCATTATTGGCAAAGATTTGAGGTATTTTCCTATTCTACTACTCATTTTTTTTTTAAATAATGTGTTCTAACATTGATAGTGTTTTAATTTATAGAATCAGTACATTAATAAGTACGTGCCAATGCACTTTCAAGCTCAATCTAAGTTATTATAGACTTGTATATTGTTTTTATGCTACTTCTTGTAGTGAAAACTGAATGAGTGCATATATATGTATGTTTATATATGTATATATATATACACATACACATCTTAACTTCATCTGTGGAAAATATATTATCAGTACAGAATTGACCAAATTACTTTTGAAGTTGTATTCTAGTCACTTTCATATTGGTTTTCATACTGATTTTTCCAGAGTCTCTTGCTTAATAATTCTGATGACCAATTATAACATGGATAAGTAGGTTTAAGGGTGCAAACTGTGGCCATCAAGCTGAGGAAATCTAAATGACCCAAATAGTAATCAAACAGCTATTAACCGAATCACACATAAGACCTTTGACAGTCTCAATTTTATAGGGATACAGAAAATTGTGGTGGGATGTGAAAATACATTAGCATTTAAAATACTTTCATTTTAGTTAAGATTTGGCTTTATATTTTAATAAGTAGTAATTTCCCAAGTATATTCTTTCTTAAGTTGTTGTTTTAGTGGAGATAACAATTTATATAAAATGGCAGAAATAAATCTGTGCTTGTAAATATACCTTGAGGGGTCCTTGAGAACTGTCAATTGAAAATATAGCCACATGGCACATACCAAAAAACAACACAACAACAAAACTCAAAAGCTAGCCCATGGAATAATAAATGTTAGGAAATGTAAGAAACATTAATTTAATAATAATTATTCTTAGTAATTATGCTTTTCTTAAAAAAAAATACATTTCATAAAGCTCAAAACAGAAACAGTATTCAGAGTGACTTTGTTCTTCCAATATAATAGGCCACTTTGAACCAAATAATGTGAAGCCAGATAATATACTGCAACATTTTTTTTTTTCAAGATTTCAGATATTTTCCTACTCTACTTCTCATTTTATTTTTCTCAAAATAAAAGTAAAGTTCACTGTATGTGTCTCTCTTTCAGTGGAGATTGGAAATCACATTCATTAAAATATTTTTAATATTTAAACAGATATTAAATATTAACAAAAAATTGACTGAAACAAAAAAATAAATTATCCTGCTCCACCTTTTACATTCTCTTTTTCAGGTCCCAATGCCTCTAATGAATAGAAAAGCAGCTCAGGGTTATCACTAGCATTTATAACTCTGTGAGGCAGAAATCAACTCCCTCCCTAACTCCTGCCCCTCTTGCATAAAACAGAAGGAAAAGCAAACAATCTATTAGCAAATCCAGCACTAATCTCATCTCTGTTTCAATGTAGCTGTTATGTTCATACTTATATTAGAAAATATAGGGAAACACAACTTCTGGAGCTTTCTTGTCAGTAAAAACATGGATTGAATAGCATTTATTGTTTCTAATTAGTACATCTGTGAAATTATACCTAACATAGAACATTGCTTATTGCATTCAATAAATATTCATTGAATTGAATTGAAATCACTTTTGGTGGGAAAGTGGGTGATGATAGTAGACTACTAACCATAAAAAATGTTTTTCCTGCTTCCCCTTCAACTTCTTCTAAATAACTTTTTGTTTCTATGAGCATGAAGTATGATTTGGCATCTGTTTCCTTATAAGAGATGACATTTTTGCTTTTGCACAAAAATTCATTTTTCTAAGCACTGTTTTAAAGTTCTATAGTATTTCACACAGCATAATATTCATTTGAAAGTAAATATTAAAACTTTTGCATACTAAAATCCCCAAGGGAAGAATACCTTGAGTAACATAACATTTCACTGGAATCAGCGAATTAACACCATAGTATTTGCTTTATTAGTAAAACTCTAATGCATTGAAGTAGGGGATAGGTGAGAGGAAAAATGACACTGAATGTGTGAATGACTTTCCTCCTATTAAAATACTCAAAGAAATTGTTGCATCACTGTCAGGATTAATTTCAGAAGATTAAAAAAAATGCAAAAACCTCCCATCTTTAACAGTTCTCCTTTACCTCTTTTGAATCATTCATTTTATTTTTAATAAAAATATCACTTAAAAAATCATTTGGGATTCCCCTTTTTTTGGTAACTAGAAAGTTGCTTGTATATTTTTATGAACCCACTAAACTTAAACAGATCTCTTTAGAAAAATAATGTGGATATATTTTGCTTTCTACAGCCTGAAGAATGTTAAAATAGAAATGCTTTCTTGAATTCCCTCTTCTGGCTCAAGTTACTAGGTGGTCCCAAGTTACCAGAAGTAAAATTTATAAATCTAACCCCTAGTCTAGACATTTTCCAGCACTGACTGCAGTTCAAAAAATATTAATGTCTAGCCGGCAAAGTGAAATTCCCCCCAGTGATTTTGCAAATGACTAGAAAGTTAACCTTTTGCCAACAGCTCCTTCTGTGCATGGAGGTTATTAAAAAGAATCCAGGCATTTATAAGTATGGGCTTTTAAAGACTGAAACACCTTGGCTTGACCCTTTATGTCTCTTTCTGTTTATTCAGGCTTGGCCTCTGTGGCTGGAATGTGTGAGCCTGAAAGGAGCTGCAGCATTAATGAAGACATTGGCCTGGGTTCAGCTTTTACCATTGCACACGAGATTGGTCACAAGTGAGTGAGTTTAAGAAAATCAAAATAAATTTTAGAACTCCACTCTTGAGCAACTTGTAACTACTGTGTGGAAAGGCTGTGCTCAACCTTGTTTTACTGCGTTTTTGTCTGATTCCAGTAGAGGATGTTATTATTTTTGGTATTGCTATAAGTCATCTTAAGAACTGGAGACTTGTTAGATAATCTTTGTTATTCAATGAGTAGTATCCTCAGTGGTGAATGGACAACATTTAAGTTTTTTTCGGTCTCCTCAATACCTGTTTTCTGATAAAGTCCAGTTGTTTAAATGATCTTTCTTTTCCTCAAGTGACAATACATATATATTTTAAAATCATTGACACAACTACCATAAAATGTACTTTTAGTTTTCACTCTTCATACAGCTGTCAGCATCCCTTTTCTAGGCATAAAGTTTGTGCAGACATTGTTATGTAACTTGTATTTTCAGGTGCATTTGTATGTCATTGAAAAAAAAAACTGTAAGAAGTACATGATACCATCCTCCTTTCTTTCTAGGAGGACCTGAAGTTTTTAATATTTGTTTTAAGTGAACCTGTGCCAAAGGAAAAACTATCTTATGCACCCTGCCCCCCACCCATGGCAATGAATACCCTTTTTAAATTTTAAACAACAGTCAATAGTAATATGAAAGCCTGCTCATGTGGAGGGAGAGAAGCTTGATAACACTTTTAAAAAAATTTTCAACGTTTATGTTCCTAAGATGAGAGATGACTTGCCTCAATTGGTTAATTTCTAAACGGATTCTGATGCTCTCATAAAGGTAAAAACTAAGCAAAAGAGCTTCCAATTTACTAACAGGAATTTTTTTAGCAGCAAAGCTCTTTTCTTCTAAAACAGAAACTGTTAACATTTAGCAAATGATTAATTATGTCTGCTACCAAAAAAATGAAAGAAAACTTTAAAAGTCTAGTCAAGCATTTTTAGCTAAACCAAGAAGCTTACTTGCAAGAGCTTTTGACATTTGTATAATTTAAGTTTTATAATCTGCTTTTTTGGTGGCGACATAGATGGGGGAAAAAGAACAAATAAAAATGAATGTTTATTATATACTTGCCTCAGAAATAATTCCTGAGGTAAATCTGTTGTTCAGCTTTTTTGTTGTTGTTGAAGTGGAGAGTAAAATTGGATCAGTCGGCTGCATTATTTTAAAATTGCAATCAAATTTTCCCAAACTGATATAGATTTTGGTGTAAATTTAAATGAACAGCAAGTTTCAAACCTGGCCTGATTCAGAAACAGGAAAGGTCAGTATTACACTCTTAATGAAGTTTTAAAAATACTGGTATTCTACTTTCCATTGTAATAAACAGCAGGTGAATAAAAGGAAAAAGCCCTCTTAACCAAGTAGTTTTATCTTTAATTCACTTAAAAATCTGGCTAATTAATGACTGTCATAATCTTATGCAATCAAACTGAATTTAATAGGTTCTGTTAGATTCAGTTAAATTGGAAGGTTAGGAAAAGTAACATACAGTGAGTGAATACTGTGTATATGGAAAGCACTATTATCTCATGCAGTCACAAGTTAGTCAATGTCAATACACACAGTTCATGTTCCATTCTTGTATGTACGTGCTTAAATAGCTGAGGTGAGGATTTATCTTTAAGATTTAAGAGATTTAGAGGAGACAACCATCCAAACTATCTACATACTGTTTTTTTCAATATGTCAAATTATTATTTGGTCAGTTAGGGAAAATTTCTTTCACAGATGAAGATCCATTTACTTACTTTTAAGATCTTAGGGTTTAGCCTTCAGGAACTTAGCAGGTCAACTCTGGCACAATTCATCATTAAACTACTGTGATCTCTCTTCTTCCTGAACCAAAGCAGTAGCCATAGTAAATATATCAAATATGTTTTCAGATGAAGTATACTGATTTTTTGTGACTTGTATCCTTTAGGAGAGTGGATGTTAAGGGATGTGAAGATATTGGCAGATTCATTACAGTGAAGAATATTTGACCATAAATTACTGAGAGGAGCCCATACTAGGTTGTGTGAATATTTTCTCCCTTTCTTTAAATTGTTTAAAATATGGTTTTGTACCCAGTGTATACTTGTGTAGGGATATAATATCTATTTTAAATAGCTGTGAGATAATATTTTCTTTGGCTAAGCCTTAGTGACAACTTTTATTTCTCTCCATTCTTTTGTGAAAATAAGAAATTAGTTTCTTTGTCAAATGAAAAGTTGAGGTTTATACTATATTTAAATGGCATGTCTAGGTTTAATATAGGCTGTAAGCCAAAAGCACCTAATGAAACCTTAGAGGAAAGAATGCTCTTTGAAAGATTTTAAAAATTAATTATGTAGTTGCCATGGATTTTATAAGTTGAAAAGTCTATGATATCAAAGAAGGGTAGCAAGAATTCAGCCAGGCATGTAGTATATTGAGAAAGCTATCTAGTGTATCTAAACTGTATAAAAACAAATAATCTTAACAAGAGATCTTAAAAATACTCGTTTTTTGGTTATGAATGCATATTGAAGTATGTGAGACTGAAGTAACCATGTCCAGGATTTTCTTTTAAAAGAAGGGAAAAAAATAAAGAGAAAACAAGATAGCAACATCTTGAATTTTGTTATCTTGATAATGTGTTTATGGCAGTTCATTATGCCACTGTTTCTACTATTGTATATGTCTGATTTTTTTCCACAAAATGAGTTCTAAGATAATACATTGTTTACATGTGGCTTAACTCATTTATTAATCATGACTAGTGAACTTTAATACTGAGAGAATTTTTTAAAGTATTACAGTTTGTAGTCAGGTGCTGTGGCTCATGCCTGTAATCCCAGCACTTTGAGAGACCAAGGTGGAGGATTGCTTGAGCCTAGGTATTGGAGACCGGCCTGGACAACATGGCCAAACCCTGTTTCTACAAAAAATACAAAAATTAGCCAGGTGTGGTGGCATGCACCTGTAGTCCCAGCTACTCGAGAGGCTGAGGTGGTAGCATACCTGAACCCAGAAGAGGAATGTATTGGCCTTGCTTTAGAAAGTAAATAATCAGTATTTTGTCTTAACCATAGGAATTCTCTCTGTAGATTGCTTAGGAGATGAGTTTTAATGTTAGTTTTATAAAATGAATTAGGAAATATTTTATTTTCTAGAGTAGTTTGCTTTCCCGTCTTAAGTACATTTTAAAACATCATTTAGATATAACTTACATACATTAAAAATGCACCCATTCTGTTTATGGTTCAATGAGCTTTGGCAAAGGTGTATAACCATGTCCCACCACCACAATTAAGCTATGAACATTTCCATTACCTGAAAAAGTCCCCCTTACAGTTAATTTCTGCCCTCATTCCCCGCCGCTGTCCCCAGACAACCGTGGGTCTCCTTTCCATCATTATATATTAGACTTGCTTTTCTATATTTTCATTTAAGTGGAATTACTCAGTGGGTACTCTTTTGTGTCTAGGTTCTTTCCCTGAGCATAAGGTTTTTGGACAGTCATCATGTTGCTGTGTGTATCAGCAGTTCCCTTTTTTTTCTGAATAGTATTCCATATCACATATCACTTTTTGGGTTGTTTTCAGTTTTGTGCTATTATGAATAGAACTGCTGTGCACATCTGTTCACAACTATTTGTACTGACATATGCTTTCATTTCTCTTGGGTGATAGTGTTGGTAGCATAGTGTTAGCTTAATGATGTCAGTGATGGTGAGCATCTTTTCATGTGCTTCATATATATCATTCAAATATCTTCTTTGCACTGTCCAAATCCTTTTCCCACTTTAAAATAATGGGTTGTTTTCTTCTTGTTGAGTTATATTATGGATAAAAGTCTTTATTATATTTCTGTGTATATATACATATACGTTTATGTGTGTGTGTGTGTGTGTGTGTGTGTGTGTATATTATATACGTAAATATAAAGACATAGGACATATTTATTCATAATATATAACATAAAACATATATAGTTTTTATATATGTATATATGACTTAGTCTCTCCTCATCTATTGCTTCCTGTTTACTTTTTAAATTGTGTTTCCTTATGAAAAGCAGAAATTTAAAATTTTGATGAAGTCTAACTTAAAATTTTTCTTCTGTGGTTTGTGCTTTTCGTGTCCTAAGAAAGCTTTGCAAATTTCAAGATTGTGAAGATATTTTCCTATAGAAGATTTATATTTCAGCCTTTATATTTATATCTATGATCCATTTCAAGTTATTTTTTATATATAGTAGGAGATACAGGTTAAAGTTCATCTTTTTTCCATGTGAATATCCAATAACTTCAGCACAATTTGCTTTAAAAAGTTAGTTGGTTTGTAGTTTTCTTTGTCTAGTTTTGGTATCAGAATAAAGTTTGTCTTATACAATAGTTTAAGTCACAGCCAACATTATATTGAATGGGCTAAAGCTAGAGGCATTCCCCATGAAAACTGGCATAAGACAAAGGTGCCCCCTCTCACCACTTCTGTTCATCATAGTGTTGGAAGTTCTGGCCAGGGCAATTGGGCAAGAGAAAGAAATAAAGGGCATTTGAATAGGAAGAGAGGAAGTCAAACTATTCCTCTTTGCAGATGACATGATCCTATATCTAGAAAACCCCATTATCTCAGCCCAAAAGTTTCTTAAGCTAATAAACTACTTCAGCAAACTCTCAGGATACAAAATCAATGTGTAAAAATCACTAGTATTCCTATAGACTAACAACAGTTAAGCTAAGAGCCAAATCAGGAATGAACGTTCATTTACAATTGCCACAAAATAAATAAAATACCCAGGAATACAGCTAACTGGGGAGGTGAAAGATCTCTCCAAAAACAAACAAACAAAAAACTACAAACCACTGCTCAAAGAAATCAGAGATGACACAGACAAATGAAAAACATTTCATGCTGATGGATAGGATGAATCAATAACGTGAAAATGGCCATACTGCCCAAAGCAATTTACAGATTCAATGCTATTCTCATTAAGCTACCATTGATATTCTTCACAGAACTAGAAAAAAACT